ATGGACTCCTTACAGTGAAGGCCAGTAATACATATTTAAGGAATTTTCTTACTGATGGATGATAGAGTCAGTCAGCTGGACTTCCTTGACCAGGTCTTCATACACTGGCAATCATAAGTATTATGGTACCACATAGCGTATGCTTGGATGCCATTCTGCATCTTAAAGTAAAGCAGTTGGTTAAGTGTCGAGAGAGCTCTGAAAAAGGAGTGTTGCAAACACCTTAGGCACAGCTTGCATATTGCACAATTTGCTGTTGCAGTCGCAGTATCATAAATCTGTATTTGTCACAGATGTTCTTTGTCACAGGACAATTTATTTTTACCTCAAATTCTTCTGTCACAACATGGAAAACTACAATTATGCAAATGAAAATATGCAATATGCAACTCTTTTTAACTTTTCTACTGTTTAATGTCCTTTTAGTGTGAAGAAGATGGTAGAAATCAATTTTCTGTGTGTCCATAAGAAACTGAGATCTAAACGGGTAGCACCTGTACTGATTCGGGAAATAACCAGAAGAGTAAACCTGGAAGGAATTTTTCAGGCAGTTTACACTGCTGGAGTGATACTCCCCAAACCTGTGGCCACTTGCAGGTAAAGTAGGTGATGTTCATAATAGTATCGGTTCCTATAGCAGTCATTTTAAAGAACATTTTATGTAATTGGCTAGAAACAATAAAAGCATAAAATTCAAAGAAATTAAATGTTATGGCCTTGACTAACCTGAAGGCCTGAGTGTCAGGGTGGTGTGGTCTCTCCCCCTCTCCCCCTCCCAGCCCCCCGCTTCTTTCCTCCCAGTGCATTGGATAAAACAGCTTCTCAGACTAAAATCTTATTTTGAATTTGTTTATCATACCTTAAATAGACTAATAGATGTTTCTTTTGACCTTCTGGTGGCAGCCATGCTGGCAATGACAACATTGTATACCTGTGTTTTTCAAGTGGCCTGTTTCCCTGCTGGGACACTTCCCTGTTGACCTGGCTGCTTGCCAAACATGGCAGAGCATTTCTGGGAATTGTAGGATTTGCTTTTTTGAAATACTTTTATCTTTCCTGGAGAAAGGAGGACTTGATCGGCATTTGATAAAGATGGGAAAACTATCACATGGGAAGAGTTGTATGTAATCAAGTATAATTTTGTTTGCTTGGAATGGATTTTATTTCTACTGGGAAAAGTTCAGTACCAGCAGTATTAGTTCAGCTGTCTATCCTTCTGGAGGACAGGGTACTTTTTGATTTGAAATTGTGGTTGTACCTGTCAACACTAAAGATCTTTTAAGTTTCTGTAAGGAAGGATGGGGGAAAAAAAAAAGCCATGCTGTCTTAGAGTACCCAGGGATGTTCTGTTGCACAATGATCTCCTAGGAAGAGATCTCCTTCAACAAACTACTTAGACATGAGCAGCCGGTCCTATCTGTACAAGAAAATAAATGTTACCATGTAAGTATGGTGAGATTGTTAGGGCTATGGCAAGTACTGAAATGTTTAGCCATGTGATTACTCATCCTGTAACAAAAAGCATTTGCTTAGATTCAAAATATGGTGATAGCAGGCCTGTTTAAAAGCTATTGCTTGAATATAGCTTTTCCTTATCTTTTGTTCCTCAAGCTTCTCACAGACATAGTACAGGCTTGCTTAGAAACAAATCTGAGAGGAGGAAG